GTGTGTGTGTGTGTGTGTGTGTGTGTGTGTGTGTGTGTGTGTGTGTGTATTCGGGCATGCTGTGGTGTATTTGGACCTCGTCACAAACATTTCAGTCGCACGCCTCAGCGACCCGTGGGTGGATGAGCGTGTGTTTTCTGATGACGTCGAGGCCGTGTGCTTCCATGTCATCCGGGTGACGTTTGATCACTTCTCTGCCTTTTTCTGGACAAAAAGACAAACGGAAATTTTGATTTGTCTCCTTTTGTCAGACGTCTCCTGTCAGTATTGCGGAGCTGAGATCAGCGTGTAGGTGTACAAGTCATCACTTTGAAAAGAATGGTTCTGTTTTTAGACGTGGCCTGAACGAACTTTCTGTGACAGAGTTCAGCTGGTGTATCCTTTTGGAACGGTTTTATGTAAATGTCAAAAAAAAATGGAGCGTTAAAGGAGCAGTTTAACCAATTTAAAACCCAAAATATTACCTAGAAATGCCAGTGGTCTCAGTCAGTTATTTGCATCTTTGTTTTTGGATTTTGGATCATATCAACAAAGACTTTGAATACACCTGTTCCAGAACCAGTTCTAAGTGTTTCATCTGGCTCCGCCCACACCTGTATGTGTTAAAGCATGTTTGCACAAACAGGAGATTCCAATGAATGAATGCCATTAAAGCCTTGTTTTGACTTTCTAACGGTTTGTTTTGCTGAATTTAGTGGTAAAAAAAACAACCACTTTTTTTCCCAGCAGGATTATCAGCTGTGTACTGTATTCTGCACAACACAACTGATGGTCCCGACCCCATTTAAAAGGCAATAAATCCCACTTATTAAACCTGTCAGGGCACACCTGTGAAGTGAAAACCATTTCAGGTGACTTCCTCGAAGCTCATCAAGAGAATGTCAAGTGTGTGAAGCAGTAATCAAAGCAAAAGGTGGCTACTTTGAATAACTTAGACTATAAGACGTATTTTCAGTTGTTTCACACTTTTTTGTTAAGTATATAATGTCATGAATCCAGTCTGCTTTCTGCTTAACCATGTCATAGTCATGTCTCCCTGCTCATTGCTTCTGCCCCTCCCGTCACAGATCTCACAATCAGCTCATTCAACTCACCTGTGCTCCTCAGTACTTAAGCTCCTCTCTCCCACAGCATCAGCGCCAGATTAACAAACGGTTCTCCTAGTAGTTGTCCAGCATTCATGTCACGKCTTGCCTGCCTCGTATTGACCCTGGTTCTGCTCTCTGGTTTCACGTCTCCTGCCTTGTCCCTTAATGGTACCGTATCGGATTCTGATCTCCTGGTTTTGACCTCCGCCTTCTCCTCTGGACTGCCGMCTTTCGTCTTCGCCCCTGCCGGATTTGTTCAGCCATCTGCCTTCTGGATTCGGACCTCCGCCTGTGTACCCCGACAAAGAGTTAAGTCTGTTCCCATAAACCTGGTTGCTGCCTCTGATCTCATGTGTATGACCCAAAGCTGTTTCACGGATTCCCCAAGTGTAAACAAATTCGCCTCAAAGACCGGAAGTGACGTCACCGTACTTCGTCTAAGACTCTCAAAGTCTTTYAAGTTCACATCCAAGTCTCCACGCCGATTAAGAAGGTTAGTTGCTTTACTCTCCTTAAAAACAATTCCCCTGAAGTATTTAGCAACTAACCTGATTCTCTCCTGTGTAGAGCTCCAGATCCCGGTGACGTGTTCTACCAGTTCCAGCTGCTCTTACTATAATAAAACTCTTAAAACTATACAGGTGTCTGGCAAATCAGTGAAACTCATTTCACCAATCATTACATATAATTCCACATGTTTTGATGCCTTCAGTGTGAATCTACAATTTTATAGTCATGAAAATAAAGAAAACTCTTTGAATGAGAAGTCCAAATGTTTGTTCTGTACAGTTTATATAAGTAGTCAGAGGACAAACTTGAAAAATCTGATTATTGTATTAAAACAAAAGAAAAGGCTGAGGAGGCAGCACAACTTATAACAAGGTGAGTCACCAGGAACCAGAGGTACATTTACTTTGTTACAGTACTTCAATAATTTTCTTTAGAGGGGTCTGTAATTTTACTTTTATTTTGTTACAATGTAAACATAAAAATGATACTTTTACTACTTTAAAATTTAACCCCTCGTTACGATTTGTTTCTGCACTCTAAAAAAATGAAGCGTTAAATTTGCCAACTTGTCATCTGGTTCCACTAAATTGAGCTGAGTGTGAAGCAATTTACTCAACTTCCTTTAAAGGCAATCTGTAAATTACTCAATTTACTCAAGTTGGTTTAGTGGAAACTGATATGAAGAGCAAACTGTAACATGGCTGGAAACCAGCAATACACTGCTGGTGAGTAGTGATGAGGTACCAGAGACACCTGGACTGAAATGGAAATCATCAGATGGTTCTTGTGTGATACCTGGCCATCATTTGGGACTGAACCAGCTGATATTAATTTGCACTGACAAGGGGCAGGCTTGCTTTCTAATTACTGAGAGAGTTCAGCTGGTGTCTTGGCTTTCCATGCCTTTTTACACCTCCCTTTCTTCATGTGCTCAATACTTTTTCCCTGTGCCATTCCACATTGTTACAAATAACTTCATTTCTGGACATTTATGGTTTGATTTCTTTGTATGTATGGATCACTTGGGTTGTTGCCGACATCTGGTGAAAATTTCATGTCATTAGCACCTCTAGTAATATATTTACTGAGAAAAATGGTGATGTGTTCAATACTTATTTTACCCGCTGTAAGTGGGAATGGCAGTTGCTGAGAGGAGTCGACAACTGTGAATGATGGCACAAATGAAAACTGAGAAACTGAAATAAATGAAAACACAAGTAAAAGTTAACACAGAAGCCAGGTGACACAAATAAATCAAACCATAAAACACAAAGGATTGTAAATGGAATAAAAAACACAGATTTTTACACTTTTTAAAAATTCTGTATTGTTTTTGTAAAGTTTTCTTAACTATCGTTTACTTGGAAAAGGGATGGATGTTTGGACAGGACCGGTGTGCAAAAACACAACATCACAGATACACACAACTAATACCACCACACACACACGCACACTGCTACGTTTTGTGCATGTTCAAAACTGTCACGGACCTACCCCACAAAGCAGATTGGTGTCATCTTCACTGTTCATTTATTTTTATTTATTTAGATGGGTTGACTTTTTTAAGCTGCTGTATGTGTGTGTTCGTTTCTAATGTAAACCTAACTGTGAATAATAATCTTAACTCTCCTTTTTTTTTACTTTTTACACAAATCATTTGCAGCTGACAGTGTGGAAAAATGATGTAATCTAGTTATGAAAATGATCTCTTGCAAAAAAAAAGAAAAAAATCTGAAAAATCGACAGACTAATGTATCCCTCTTGTTGTAATAAACTATTTTCAAAGTCAAAGCACCTTTTATTAGTCTCCCTTGAGAAAATTTTTTGCTTTGGATAATGCTGCACACAATACGCAAAAACGTAAAACACGCACAATGAGCACACAAAAAAACTCACATGAATTACATTAAAAAGACCTGTCATCCTGCCACGCAGTTACCTAAATGGATTTATTATGAACATGTAAACAGTGGCACATGGGATGTATCAACGCCTTCTTATACTGTTTATACTGCAATATGGAAATCTTTAATATGTAGTGAGATAAGCTGTAAAGTAAGTCTTTATTGCACATTTTTATGTTTCCTAGTTTTTGTATTTGGAAGATGCGGAGCCCACGAGGGGACATGGGAGATTTTTTCTTTTGCGTTCCCACACAACAGTATTGCGTTACCTCGCAATACCTTTTGCGTTCCCTCGCAAAAGTAGTTTATCACTGTTGTGCCTGCCTGTTTATTA